GCTTAACTTCCTGCAGGATCTCTTTTTCGAGGGTGGTTGCCTTGACCAACTGACTCAGTGCGAGGGTTGCTCCATTTGGCTCCGTTCTGTTGTCGTTGATAAGTCGGCAGGGCTCAATAAATCGTCGCCTTAACAAAAAAAACATAGTTAGTGGATATTTGAAGTCACTTGGTGGTCCCCGTAGCCCCACATGGCCATTATCGTCCCCGTTGAGATCCAAACATGCGACCCCATGTAATCGCTGGCCGTTTACTTTATCATTTGCCAACATAAATTAGTAACTAAACGGTTGAACTAAACTGAGAGTGGAGCGTGTTTTGCATTTCATTAAATTAGAAGTACGCTGGGAGAAATAATTTGGGGGGAAATAATATACGATGTCATAATAAATACCATAGCATAAAATACAACAAAATACATTCTTATAACATTGTAATTATATTACATTTTTTAGCATAATAAAATTAAAAATTTGGATTTTAAACGTAAAAAAATATTTCTGTAAATTATACATACATATTTAAAAAACAAACAAATTAAAAAAAAAAATTGTTTTGTCAAATAAATACATATTTTTCCTAGTTTTTTTTTTGTGCATAAACAGGTATGAGTATGAGAAATGCTAATTAAGTGGAATGCAGAGTTGGCGCCACATGCCAAATATTTGCAGCAGCTGACACCAGTTGGGGGTCAGGAGTACGTGCTGGTTAATTAAGCGGCCATCCAAATGCATTACATGTCCTTGTGCTCAGGTGCAATAGCTTTTATTAGAGGGAGAGAGAGAAAGGCTAGAGGATAAAGGCCTTAGCCTTAAAGCCACTTAAAAATCGAAAAAAAAGGAATCTCCGGGGTCGCCTGTCCGACTAACACAATTTTTCACACCTCTTTTCCCAAACCTTCTTTGTTAGCATTTATTATATATCTGCACCATTGACCGGGTCACCATACAGAAAAAAAAAATGGAGCTACAAAAAATGTAGACATTTTCTTTAGCGCAAGTCATGCATTCCATTTCCTATTTACATTTATCTAACTCTCGCCAAAAAAAGGAGGAAAAGCAACGGATTTAATGGAAAACGATGATGCGCCAGGGTTGTTGGCCCCGTCGCTGTGGCGCCTGGCAACCCTGGTCGGCGCCACACAAAATTCCACTCCGCATTGCGTTCAGTCCGTTTTTATTGCATGTGATTGCTTAATTTATTTGTATATATTTTAAACATTATTTTAGATTTTTAGAGGGTAGTTAAAGGTATTCTGGCTTTCACATTTCTGCTTTCAGCACTTTTAATTTATTTGACAAATTTATAATTGGGAATTTTTAAATTAAAACCCTTTTGAACCTATAAAATCGTGGCAATAGCTTTAGTATTTAAAATTTAGAATAAAATAAATCATTTATATATTATTTTCATTTACTTAATTTATGACAATATTTTTATCATAGGAAATTTTATTCGAGGGTATTTCAAGGCATCGTTTTATCAAAAGTGGCCTGTCCTTCTCGTTTTTATTCAGCTTGGCTTTTACTCCTCTTTGGCGCTGACCAAATGGTGCCAACTAGACGCGATGCGCCAAAAATTGTTAAACGTTTGCCAAGTGCAATGTAAATTGGTGACATTTGTCGGATAACACTACGTATGCGTGATTTGTTTCAGTTCAAAAGTTAATGAACCGATAAAGATAGCACTGAATTCTACCTATTTATTTAAATATTAAATAAATATAATTGTAAAGAAATATATAATTTTTTACATTTTAAATCAACATTCCCACAATAATTTAATTTTTCAATGCAGCCTCTTAAAAAATAGGATGCAAAAAGTGTATCGAATCCACGTAACCATAAATCATTCAACTTAAATCCCTGTAACAAATTCGAATGCACGCGAATCAATTGTTCAATTGTTTCCGTAGGAAAATAAATAAAATATAAGCCCAATGCTGTTAGGGATTGCGCGGAAAATAAGGGGAAGCGGTGCTGCGGGAAGGGAAATAGGGCGTAGGGACAACAAACAAGTTGGCGGCCATAAATAAATATCGCATAAGCCCAGAGACAAACCTAGAATATAAATTTGCACTCTGTTTCTCTCTCTTTGTAGCACAATCAACTTAATTTCGTACAAATTCAATTTAAATAATGCCGCGGCTCCATAAAAAAATAATCTCGCATGCGAATATATCTATCTCTATTTGTGTATTGTGGCAGAACGAATTCAATTGTCTGGATTTGGTTTAAATGGCAGATGTTCGTTTGTAAATTTATTTGACTTTAAATAGTTTAAGAATAAATACTAAAAATATTTCATATTCTTTAATTATTTGTATTTAAATGCATGGATATTAAATGAAAAAGAAAATATTGTACTAAATTATTTATCTAGGAATTTAAGTTAGTACATGGCTATATTTACTTTACAAGTCAGCAAGCCTTTCTTTAAGCTGTTACTTTACTTATACTTTTTCCTTTTAATATTTCCCTTACTTGCTGCTAAAATTAAATTGCATTTGCCGCTTGAAATATTTTAATTTCCTTCGGACACGAAGCGAGTCCATCGAAACCTAATAAAACGACAGAGACACGTACGCACCTCTGACATCCAGAAACGCTGAAGATGACGTGTGGGATTCCCGAATGTTGCACCGTCTACTTTTATGTGTCTTGTCCTCCATTTCTGCCACATATGTTGCAATCTCCTCGAGTAAATTGAAGTGACAGTTGGGGCAGAAACGAGTCAGTGCGGAAATTAATTAAATTCCCTTAAAAAATCAAAGGGGGAAGATGATGCTTAAAGTCAGCTGTTCACGAATCCAAGAAAATGTCATGAATTTATTTAATTATTTCATGCCTATTGCAAAATAAAATTTTTAAGAAATAAAAATTTTATTATTGCCATAGTTATATGATTTCTTCTTTAAATTGGAAGATAAAATAAATATTTTCTTTATTTAATCCCATCCACCCTTTTTTTCTTATTTCCGTATCGCCATAAAATTAAAAAAGCCCAATATAAACACACTTCCCACCCACCACGCAGCAGGGCTGCAATTAATTTTCCATTGGCCGGGCGTTCAAACATTTTAATCAAATGACAAAACCGAAAATAATTTATTTTGCGGCACATAACTCACAGAGCAGTGGAAGCCGGCGAGCGGTTTATTAAATTTTGTTTGCTCTGGCGCTGAAAACAGGCTCCGTGCAGTGGCTGTTGCTATTTTCCTTGTTGTCCGCCAGTTGGCAAACTAATAGATTTTAAAAGCGGCTGTCCCTGTCAGCAAACCAAAGTTGCCCGTAGAGGGGAAAATGCGGGGAAAGCCGAGTTAGGCGACGTGATAAACGCGGCAAAATAAATTGGTCAACTTGCAGTTTGGGTTAACGGGCAGTTTGTTGTGACAGCTGCAAGGCGATAGCAACAAAAAATACAAAAAAAAACAACAGGTTGTCGACTTTACAAAGTGATCGATGAATACATGTAATCAATAAATTCGCCACAGACTTTTAGCCCTGGAAGCTGTGATAATTCAAACGAAAGTCACGATCGTTTTATTTAAAAATGGTAAGTTGGATCGATATTTGGGGATAATTTTTGGGAAGGAAAGAAAGCTTAGATTTATGCAACCAAAAATTATAAAATTTAGATACATTTCTAGCATTTAAAAACGTTAAAACGTATTATACTTATTTATAAAAAGAATTTAAAAAAACCTTATAGAAAATATACCATACATAAAAAATTTTTTAAAATATAAATTTAATTTTTATAGTTCCAAAGAAGGTTTAATGCAAACCATTAGACATAAAATAATCAAACGTTGTAAAGATAAAATAAAAGCATTAAAGATGTCTTCCTAAATTGTTATTTGGAGACGGAAAGCCAGGAACAAAATCCAAAAGTCTTTAACTCTCTTGAAAAATAAAAATATCCAACTGAGCCATCAATAAGTTCATTTATTTCGCATTACTCACGACTCCCTCCATTTTCCGCTCTCTCCACTTTTCGAATCTTTTCAGAGACCGCCTACATGTCTTGTGGTTATTGTGTAATTTGCCATTAAATCGTTGTCAACCACTTAATTGCTCGCTATAAATCTTAAACGCAATTGCTTATCGCTGGCCCGGACGAAAAATCCGGCAATTAAAAGCAAATCAAATGGACTTGCGGCCACTTTTTTTGCCACAGAAAGTTGTCTCTCTCATTGGTTCGCAATCTTGATGGCAATTTTCGGAACGACAAAACTCTATTTCCCAGCAGGAGTCTGGAATTAAGTTCTGCGTTTCTTTGTTATGCCGAAACTAAATTTCAATTTGCTTTAAACTCCACTAAAGCAAAACACACAACGCATCGCCTTCTGCATTTGCATTTTATTTCCAATGGCTGCGTTTCGCAATTTCTTAGCAACTTTTTTCCCTTCCATTGTTTTTTGGTTTTCTCGGGCAGAGAGGGCAATTTCACTTTTCAACTTTATTCGAGCGAAAAATTGACGTGGAAATAGTGGGTCGGTGAGGGGGAAAAATCTGTCTGGCATATCTCAGCGGAGAAAAGGTGTAGAAACTGAAGGAGTTGGAAGCTAGACAGGCGTTAAGCCTTCCAAAACAGACCAACCAAATGTGGACAGCCAAGAGAACGATAACGAAATACATTTTAAATATATGGTAGAGAATTTTGTGTAAAATGTAATATTCTTTGGGACCAACCAAAGTCACAGAATATTTATATTACATTTTATTGAGGAATATTTTCTTTTAATATCTGAGATATATTAGTAGGACACACTGAAGAAGAAATACATTTTTCTACTATTTAGGGTATTTTGTTGTGACATTTGGTAATAGATATTTGATTTGATTTAGACTCCCAATTTTCCTACGACTTTGAAAGAATGTCCGATGGAAACCCAAATAAACCAATATTTCATTTAATTATGGCACTTAATTATTTTATTGAAATAACAAACTAACTCTATACCCAACTGCATAAATCCCATAATGAAAACTCTTCATATTTGTTCGAAATTGTCGTTTGGTTTATTTACAAATCGTTTGTAGATCGTGCGAATGGTCCAAACGGCCCATCGCCCTCAGCACAGCAATCTAATTACATAAGGCTCTACTCTATATAAATCTACTTAACTAGATGGAGGAATGGGAGCTACAGTCGCTGCGTGGAGCTGATCAGCCAGGCGACGAGGAGGGTGAGGCCCAGTCCGATGCCGGACAGTCCACCGGCGGATCCAGTAAGTTCAACGGTGTTGCAGCCATCGGTGGAGCACTTGTTGCAGTGGTCCTCGTTGTCGATCTCGCACTCCAACTCACTAGCGCAGCCCCTCCTCAGAAGTCCATCGTTGTAGGAGGTGACACAGTTATCATTGGCCGCATAGATGGGACAGACGGCCAGGCTGTTGGGTTGCTTGGCACAATTGGAGTCGGCGGTGGAGTTGCAGATGTGGCAGCGTCGTCGGTTGTTGGGGAAGATCTCCGCGTTGCACTTGGCGCCGGAGCAAACGGCACAGGTGCCGCTGGCCACACAGCTGCTGCTCTCGGCGGAGCTCAAGGCGCTCCTGCAGCCACGGATCGTATGGCCATCCTCCAGGCGGGTAATACACTCGGAATTGGGGGCATTGCAGATAATAGTTGAGGTCACAGCCGTGGGTTCCTGGGCGCACTCCAGCGATTTGCTGGAGTCACAGGCCAGACACTCACCTTCGCCAGGCAGACGGCTCAGCTCATTGCACTCGCTTCCTTGGCAAGAGTATAACTGATTCGCATTCTGCCACTCGTCCAAACTGGAGCTATTCTGGCTACTTGCGCAACCCATGAGCTCCAGGGCACCGCCACTGGCATACTTGGCGAAACAGTAGTCATCCGATTTGTAGGCCAAACAAGCCTGCGACTGGCTGCTTGAGCAAGTCGAATCCGCACAGGTGTGGCAACTCAGACGATCCGCGGGATACGAGAAGGTGTTGCATTCGGCTCCCGAGCAGGAGGCACAGTTGGTGCCACTCTCATCGGTGGTGCAATCGGAGCGATCGTACAGTTCCTTGTCATCCAGACAGGATCGAATCAAATCCTCGCCACTCAGAGCCACCAGACACTGACCCTTGCAACTGCGCTGGGTCAAGTCCGATCCTTTGGGATCCGTGATGCAAGTGGATCGGTTGGCAGAATTGCAGAAGGTACATGAGACATACTCATCCGTGGACCAGGCATCATTGCACTCATTCGACTTGCAGGTGAAGCATAGAGATGGGTTCTTCCTACAATAACGATCCTCGTAGTCATCCACATCATCCGAGCAGCCACGCCTCCTCACCGTCACGCCATCCGCCTCGAAGACGGTCTTACAATCCTGATCCTTATTCAGGGTGCACGTGACCGCCGGTCCCAGCGAACTTAGACAATGTTCTCCTACGCAAGTGTGACACTTCAAGGGCAAATCCTGGTACACTCCATGCTGACCATCATCCACTCGGTTGCGAAGATCGATGGCATTGCACTCGCTTCCCGAGCAACTGCGGCAATTGCTAAAGTCACTGGAATCGCACTCCACGAGGCTGCTGCAACCACGAGTGGTCACATTTCCGGAGAGCAAGGTCTTACAGGTCTCCGTTTCGCTGACCCATGGACAGGCCAAAGTGTACGAAGGATCCGACTCACAGCTGGAATCATCGGCAGAGGTGCAGGAATAGCACACTTGACGATCAGCAGGGAAGACCTTGAAAAGTGGGGAGGATTTGGTATAAGTTAAGATGTTTAAGTAGGGGTAGAGTCTTTTCTACTTACCTCACGATTGCAACCATCGACGGAGCAAACGGAACAGTTGGCATCGTTTCCAAGAAGACAGGCGGCGAAATCGGACTGACCGAGGTCGTAAAGGCAACCACGGTGGGTGGAACCATCTGAAAAAAGGGATATTTGTTAGATATAAGTTTGATATGATATAAGATATGATATGAGATATAGTATAAGATATGATACGATGTGATATGAGATCAAATAAAAACACCTCTTAACGAGGTAAAAAACTAGTGACGACCGCACCTTCAACATACAAAAGTTCTGATATCAACATTTGTGACGAAAAATTATTACACTCGTCATTAAATAGACTTTCTATAATATTTTCTCATTCGGCCCGCCCTAGCAAACTATTCCAGCCTTTTTCTCTTTACAGGCATTTTCTATTGCAGCGTGACGAATGAGAAAAGATTAGAAAGTCTATTTAATGACGAATGTTGATATCAGAACTTTTGTATGTTGAAGGTGCGGTCGTCACTAGTTTTTTACCTCGTTAAGAGGTGTTTTTATTTGATATGAGATATACTTTAAGATATGAAATGATATAATATGATATGATATGAGATATAATATAAGATATCATACGTTATGATATGTTATGAGATATAATATATGATATGATATAATATAGATATGATATGATATGACATGTTGAGCCACTAAACTCACCATCCTCCAATTTGGTGAAGCATCCCGTGTGGGGCAACTGGCTGCAGGTGGCAAAGACTCCCACTGCCTCGGCATTGGTGGCGCAGGTGGGATCCTCGCGAGAATCGCAGACGGCACATCGCACGGGGGACTGAAGTTGCGGGACGTTGCAGTTGGTGCCATTGCAAACGGCAATGCGTTTCGTTTTGATGATCGATTCCAAGTCCTGATTGCGGAAGGAGCTCAGGCAGCCGAGTTGCTTGAGGTCGTTGTCCTCGTCCACCCACAGGAAGCAGCTGTCCTCGGGCTTGTAGATGGCACAGGTCTTGGGCTGCGGATCCTCGCACTCGTCGCCCTCGCAGGTGTAGCAACTGAGGCGATCTTCGGGCAGGCTCTGGACATTGCAGGAGTCGCCGGAGCAGGCGGAGCAGCTAGAATCACTGCCACTGGCACAGGACAGCTGATCCGACTCCTCCTTGTCGTCCAAACAGGTGCGAATGAGATCCAGACCGGAGTCACTGCTGCCGTACAGAGCAGTCATACATTGTCCCTGGCACTGGCGAGTCCTGTGAGTGGTGCTCGTTGGATCCCAGAGGCAGGACGAGTCCTTGTAGGAGTCGCAGTAAATGCAAGTGGTGTACTGACTGAGAGCTGTGGCATTGTTGCAGCCGTTGGACTTGCAGGCGGGACAGCTGGCGGCATTGGAACCGCAGTAGGTGGCGATGGTCGGATCCGATTCCACCTCATCCTGGCAGCCACGTCGCGTGACTACGCCATCCGAACCAAAGACGGTCAAACAGTCCTGCTCGTTGTTGTTCTGGCACTTGACGGTGGGAATATCCTCCTCCTGGCAGGCGGCACCCTCGCAGGTGAGACACTCCAACGGGAGGTCCTGCCACTTTCCGTAGTTATCATCCGACTTGGCCGCCAAATCCACCTGATTGCAGCCATCTCCCTCGCAGTAAACACAGGTCTTGGCATTCGCCTCGCAACTCAGCGAGGAGGAGCAGCCCCTGTAGGTCACGCCGTTCCTCAGATTGGTCACACACGTGTCATCTGCTTCGTACAGATAGCAAACAGTGAGGCTCGAAGGATTGGAGGCGCAATTGGCATCCGTGTCGGAGTTGCAGACGTGGCAGGATCGTCGATTACTGGGGTAAACCTGCTTGTTGCAACTGCTTCCTTGACAGGAGTTGCAAGAGGTTGAGGTGCCATTGTAGCAGGAAAGGAAATCGTCATCCTCCAAGCTGGAAAGACATCCCCTCTCGGTGTGTCCATCGGAAAGGATTCGGGAGTAGCATTCAGGGAAGCCTCCAAGGACGCAGTTCGTCGAACTGGTCACACTGGAAGGACTAATCGCACAATTGGCCTCGGTACGTGAGCTACACAAGGTGCAACTCTCGCTTTCCGGCACGGATTCAATCGTATTGCAATCGTTATCGCTGCAGGTCAGCAATCTCTTCGAACGTCTCAACAGATAGATATCCTCGTGACTGAGTTCACTCAGGCAGCCCAGCGAAGACACGGATCTCTCCTCATCGAACTGTATGAAGCACTCATCGTTCTCCCTGTAATTCGAGCAGCTGCTGGCCTCCGGTTTCTGGCACTCGTCACCCTGACAGACCAAACAGCTTTGCCGGCTGGCCACGAGGTCCTCCACATTGCACTTGGCACCCTCACAGGTGGCACAGAATCTCTTGCTGCCCGCGGTGCAAGCATCGCGATCCTCCTTCTCCAGATCATCATAGCAATTGCGGATCAGCGCATAGCTGGGATCTTCAGTTTCGTTGAACAAAGGCAGGAAGGCCGAGACACAACGCTCGTTGCACTGGCGAGTCTTGGTGATCTGGGTGGGATTACTGAGGCAATTCGAATCCACACTGGAGTCGCAAACGATGCATTCCACATAGTTATCTTGAGAATCAGCCAAGTTGCAGTTATTGGAATTGCAACGTGGGCAGGATGAGGGATTCTCATCGCAGTACGTGGAGGCCTCGAAGACGGTTTCCGAGCAACCTCGTTGGGTAACCGATCCAGTTTCGCCGAAGACGGTCACACAGTTGTCATAACCCGAGCACTTTGTTGGGGTTCCTCCACCAGAAGCACATTCCGTGCCCGAGCACACCAAACACTCGATGGGCACATCCTGCCAAGCTCCGGGCAAACCATCCTCGCCAACTCGCTCCAGATTAACGGTGTTGCAACCATCGGCGGAGCTGCAAACGCGGCAAGTTGAGGAATCTGAGGGATTCGAGCAGGTCAACGTCGAATTGCATCCCCTGTAGGTCACTCCATCCAACAAGGTAGTCACACAGCCCTCGTCCTGGGAGTAAATGGGACACACAGTGCTGGTGATACTCGCTGGTGAACTAGCACAATTGGAATCACTCGAGGAATCACACTGGATGCACTTCCTCCTATCGGCAGGGAAGACGGAGAGACCATTGCAACGTTCGCCAGTGCAAGTGGAGCAGAGTTCTCCGTCACCAGTGAGGCACTCGTAGAACTCGCCGCTGGCCAAACTGGAGAGACAACCACGAATGGTATTACCCTTGGCATCGATCTGCGTCACACACTCGGTGTAGGGCATCTTGGAGCAAATGTCGGTGGTGAGCAGCTGATTCGGATTGGTGGCACAGCGAGGATCGTCCGTGGAACTGCAGTGCAGACAAGTTTGGGGTTCGGGCGTGAGTCCATATTCATTGCACTTCTGCCCGGAACAGAGTAGCAATCGCTGTTGGGCCACCAGCTCCTGGATCACCTGGGTCTCAAAGTCACTGGCACAGCCCATGGCCACGACACCGGTGTCATCGTAGGCCAGGTAGCATTGATCCTGCTCCCTGTAGGCCACACACTTCTCGGTTTCGGGGTCTTCGCACAAGGGATCCTTGCAGGCATAGCACTCCTGAGGATTGGCAATGACATCATCTCCGTTGCAGAGGGATCCAGTGCAGGCAGTGCAATTGGCATGAGTTCCCGCCGCACAGGAAGTGCGTTCCGCCTCGTTAAGATCATCCAGGCAACCGCGAGTGGGCAGCAGAGCAGAGTCCCAGGAGGAGCTGCGTGGATACAATCCCGTCATGCACTGACCCTGGCACTTCCTGGTGGTCTCCGGCTTCTCCCAGGCACAGTTCACATCCTCCTCGGCATCACAGAAGTAGCAATCCACATAGGCATCCAGGGACAAGGCGTTGTTGCAACCATCCGACTTGCACTGCACGCAGCTATCCTTGTTCAGGTCACAGTACTCCGTATGGGCAGCCAGGACGGTATCACTGCATCCTCGGGACACCACCTGACCCTCGGAATTGAAGACCGTGGAGCAGGTCTGCTTGTTGTTACCCTCACACTTGGTGGCCTCGCCACTAACAGCGGCACAACTGGCGGCGTCATTGCATTCGTAACAGCTTAATGGGAGATCCGTCCACTTTCCTGGTTCGCCAACATAGCCCGACTGCAGATCCACATCATTGCAATCGGCTCCGGTGCAAATCCTGCAACTTCCCGCCTCGGATGCATCGCAGTTCAGTTCCGATTGGCAGCCACGACGAGTTCGTCCGTTGCTCAAGGAAGTGGCACAGGCATCGTTCTCCGAATAGGTACGGCAATAGCTCGAGTAGCTGGAGGGATTCAGGGCACAGTCAGCATCGCTGGAAGAATCGCAGCGCAGACAGGTCAGCCAATCCGAGGGATAGACCTCACTGTTGCAGTTGTTCGTGCTGCAAATGGTGCAGTTGGAGCTGCCAGAGCTTAAGCATTCATCGAAGAGGTCATCCTCGGTGTCCATAAGGCAACCACGCACCAAAACGCCATCTGAAAAGGATTGACGTTAGAAGTTAGAACAGCAAAAGTTCCTTTAAACTAGAGCTTGAAAATGATCGATGTCAGTATTGATATTATCGATATTCTTAAAATTTTTCAAACATCGATGTATATCTGATATATCGATGCTTCTCTAATGTTTTATTAGGTAGAATTGTCTCTTTAATTTTGAGGACCGGAAATTAAAATTAAATAAATAAACCGCGATTTGTTCTAAAATTATTTATAATTGAAAAAATTGATATTGTCGATACGATATCGACAATATCGACAATATCGATACTCCCAAATATCGATACTATCGATATCGATAATTTTCAAGCTCTACTACTGTAAACACTCACCTTCGTTCAAGTAGTTGTAGCACTCGGGGTTGATTTGGTGCTGGCAGACAACTGCCGTATTTCCAACACCGCTCACACAACGGTCATCATAAGTGGAATTGCAGTAATTGCAGGAAACGCCAGTTTTCAGCTTGTCCTTGGTGTTGCAATCGTTGCCAGAGCAGAGGTAAAGATCCCTTCGGTTGATGAAGAGGTACGAATCCTGCAGATCGGTGGCACAACCCATGGCCTTGATACTCAGATCGTCCACCTGAATGTAGCACTGCTCTCCGGACCGATAGCCCAGGCAAAGTTGGCTGGTGATCGTTTCACACTCGGCATCCTCACAGACATTGCAGCTAAGACGATCTTCGGGCACATCGGCCGTGTTACAAGTGGCGCCCGAACAGGAAGCGCAGTTCTCCAAGGTTCCAGCAGCACATGCCTCACGATCATCGTACTCGAGATCATCCAGACAACCGCGCGCTAGATCGTAAACGGGATTCGAGTCCGACCGATTGCGGGGATATAGGCCGGTGAAGCAGCTTCCCTGGCAGGATAGAGTTCGGGTAACATCTCCCACCTTCCTAACGCAATTGGCATCCTCGCTGCCATCACAGAACAGACAATCCACATAGGCACTCAACTCCTTGGCGTTATTGCAGCCCGTCGACTTGCAGAACTTGCAGTTACCCGTGTTCTCATCGCAGTACTGCAGGAGCTCTTCGTCCTCGTAGAGAGTGTCGGAGCAGCCTCGGAAGACCACAGCCCCAGAAGCATCGAAAACGGTTCCACAGTTTTGCTCATCGTTGCCGGTACACTTGCGCAAGGTGCCCGAGCTGGATCCCTGGCACTCGGTGCCATTGCAGGTGTAACAATTCACCGGCGGAGTGGACCACTTGCCGGGGTAACCAATGTAGGACTCAAAGAGATCTGCCACATTGCAGTTATCCTTGCCCGAGCACATGCGACAGTGCTGTTTGTCCGAATCGTTGCAGGTGAATTCCCGCTGGCAGCCGCGATAGGTTACCCCGTCCACCAACTTGGCACTGCATCCCTCGTTCTCCAGATAGAAGGGACACACCGCAGCCTCACCGGTTCCCGATGAGCAGGTCGGATCGGTCAGGGAGTTGCACCTCTGGCAGCGACGACGATCGGCGGGATATATCTCGGTGTTGCAGTGATCACCCGTGCAGACTGTACAGGTTCCAGTGCCAGCGAGGCACTCCTCCAATTGTTCGCGAGGCAAGCTGCTCAGGCAACTACGCTGGGTGAAGCCATCTGGAAGAAAACGAGTCGAATTACAAGGGATTACAAAATCGAATGGTACAAAACCCACTTTTGACCCTCGTTTGGCAACTACTGTAAGGTAAAATACCACAGTTTCCAACCAGCTCGATCTTTGAGGGATCCGTGGCACAGTTGGGATCTTCCTCGGAATCGCAGGCGTAGCACTTGTGTGGCACTGGCAGGTTATCGAAGAAGTTGCAATTGCTCTCATCGCAGAAAAGCAGGGAATGGAAGTTATCATCCACATACTCCTCATCCAGATCGGACTTGCAACCCATAGCCTTGATATCAGCATCATAGCTAAACAAGATATAGCATTGATCAGTGGGACTGTATTGGCTGCAGAGACTGGACTCCGGATCATCGCAATCCGATCCAGAGCATTTCCAGCAGGTCTGAGTGATATCGGAAATAATATCCACATTACAGTTGGCGCCCGAGCAGGCTTTGCAAGTTCCATCAGTGCCGGCAATGCAGCTAGCCTGATCTTCCGGCTCCTTGTCGTCCAAACAACCTCGCACAGTGTCAAAGATGAAGTTCTCACTGGATCTCTGGCGGGAGGCAGTCATACATTGGCCATTGCAAAGGCGACGGGACTTGACATTCGCCGCATTAGTGGCACAATCCTCGTTCTCATAATCGCAGTAGATGCATTCGGTGTAGGAATCCAGGGATCTGGCACCATTGCATCCGTTGGAGTTGCAGTTGTGGCAGTTGCCTCCATTGGCATCGCAGTAGGTGGCCCAGGTTTCCTCCACCACCTGGCTGCAGCCCTTGGCGGCAACAGCTCCATCGGCACTGAAGACGGTCACACAATATTCGGAATCACTAGAGCAGGTGACATTCGTGAGTTCGCTGGCAGCACAACTGGCGGCATCCGTGCAACTCTGGCAGCTGAGGGGCAAGTCCTGACCCCACAGACCCGGCTGACCATCCTCCAGCCTCTTCAGATTGCCGGCATTACAATCGGCTCCCGAACAGAGCTGACACTTCTTGGGATTACTGGAGTCACATTCGAGCGAGGCACTGCATCCACGTTGGGTATTTCCCGAGAGATCTATGGAGGTTATGCATTGCTGATTGGCGGTGTGCAGCAGACAGAGGGCAGAGGCGGTGGGCGATGATTCGCAGGTAGCATCCTCACTGGAATCGCAGATCTGACAGGACAAACGCTCACTGGGTTGCAGCTGGAAAATAAAGTTCAAGTTTAAATTTATCAATACGATTTCAAAAATTGATCCGATTTGAAAGATTTTTGGTTTGGCGATAGGTACACACAAAAAAAGCATGTTAAGGTCATACAAAATGCATATCGTTTTAACGTGAAATACTCTTTTCGACCAGTTGAATTTTACCTGGCCGCATATCAAATTAAAATTGATTTTAAATAATGTAAAATCGATCTACAGGCCAATTTTAACTGGCCGCATATCAAATTAAAATTGATCTTAAGTAATGTAAAATCGATCTACTTTTCATATCGATTTTTTTGGGTGTAACTGACATATTAAATTCTTCTTTGAATAACTCTAAACCCACCTGTTGATTGCAATTCTCCCCGGAGCACCTCAAGCACTTTGTGGAGTTGGTGTCCTTCAGACATTCCAGGTAATCCTCGCCCTCCAAACTGGTGAGACAACCCCTCTCCGTGTGTCCGTTATCCAGAATCCTCGAATAGCAATCGGTGTTCGCTGGACCCTCGCATTCGGTAGCCGTATCCACATCCTCTGGAGCTACAGCACAATCTTCATCCGTGCGGGAACTGCACAATTTGCAAGACTGAGTCTTGGGCAAGGCAGAGGCCACATTGCAGTTGTCACCAGTGCAGTACCACAATTGCTTGTTGGTCTCCATCAGGGTAACATCGCTCACATTGTACTGACTTAGGCAGCCCATTTCGTAGATGGTACCCGCAGTATCGAATTCGATGAAGCAGCTCTCGGCATTATCTCCCGATGGAACAGCCCGGCAAGTGGTCGACTGGGGACCAGTGCAATCTCCCTTGCAGTAGTTACAACTTCCTCGGACACCCAAGTCCACGATATTACAGCTGGCTGTGCTGCAGGCTATACAATTGTCGAGGGTTCCTTCGGCGCAAGCCTCCCGATCATCATAGTCGAGATCATCCAGACAAGTGCGAACCAATTCCAGTGGGGCACCCACTTCGCTATTGGTGGCATAGAGTGCTGTGATACACTGCTGGTTGCACCTCCTTCGCTCAGTCACAAGTTCAATGTCGAAGACACAATTATCATCGCTCTGGGCATCGCACAAAACGCACTCGAGCAGATCCTCAGCGGTTTTCAGGGAATTACAACCGTGCGATCGGCACTCGTAGCAATTGTCCCCACTTTCTGTGCAGACGGATTCCAAATTATCGCTGCAACCTCTTTGGATCACAGCACCATTGCTGTTGAAAATGGCCACACAGCTTTGACCTTCGTTATCCAGACATTTTCGCAAGGCTCCAGATCCTGCAGAACACTCTTCTAGGGTGGCACACTCATGACAATTAATGGGGCCCGAATGCCAGTTGTGGATAAAGGCATCTGCAAGTAATTAATTAAAAATTTTACCTTAATGTTTTGAAGGCCAACATTAAATTTCCTTGAATATAAGAAATTTAATTTAATTTAAACTTTATTAAAAAATGGAATACCATTCCGAATTCATAACAATTTAATTCGCCCTGTCTTCTTTCCCGAAAGTTACCAAAACTCGCTTTGGAAAATACGTTATTGAATTTATAACCATTGGCAGTACGCGGCTTGTTACTTATAAAATAGTTTATGGTCCGCACGGTAATCGAATTTCGCCTTTGTTTATGACTACCGATGTCCGCTGGCTGCCGTTACCACATCGAGGCGATCTTTTCCCCGTAATCAGCTAATAAATTAATAATTGCTTTGCAATCCATAAAAAAGCCAATTCAATGACGATCGCCAGACCTAATCTATAACGAAGCGTGTTCTTGTATAATGAAGAGGGAAAAGGGAAAGTTCGAGTGTTAAAGGGGTAATCCCTTAAAAATTTCTACTTAGAGATTCTTTACTTTTTCAATTAAATTAAAATTGTTTTTCTGACAATAATATTATTAACGCCATGTTTTTTTTAAACTCTGAATTCCCATACATTCCTAAGGCTAAAAACCTACTCCTAATTTAACATGCGGACAATAAAGGAATTCAAGAACAATTGTACATATTTTAAATATATCATTTACTGTCAGCTTCACTGAAATTAACATAAATACTGATTTTTATAAAGTACGGTTTCCGTTTCGCAAAGTCCAAAATCCACTTCTAATCTTTTCCTTGACTTAATCCATATAAATCAAGATTGGTGGATTTCCAAATCACTCGAAAATTCTGATTGCAATTCTTTCGCAACTTGATTAACACCAGAAAAGTAATATGATTAACCCTTTTTTTACTGTGAACCAAGTAAGTGACACGCCTTTTATAATCAATATTAGTTACACGCTTACGTCTCTTTATGAGTGCTTTTTTGTTTTATTGATAATAGATAATGGTTCATATAGCCCATATAAAAGCATGTGTATGAGTCATAAAAGTCGGCGCGTTTGACGGACATGCAATTATTTTGTTCTTTGTCCGATGGGGAATAACACGGGCAGATTCGTACTATCGGTAAATAAGATAGGTCAATCTTCCTTTGATACATTTTGGTTCTTAATTCTAACGGATTTTCCAAAGTACATTTTATTTTCGTTTTCATTTTTAGCAGGAAGTTTATTAATGGATTAACTGAATAACGTTTACGTAACGTAGGTAAAAATATTAGGTAGCTCCATTTTTCATCTTTTAATAATAACACGAAAAACATGGATATTATTTAATAGTTTGTTAAAAAAATAATGAACTTAATTATTTTATTTCCATTTTCGGTTTCAATTGTGTTTTGTGCAATTTTTCTTTTATGATCGCACACGATGTTTTATATAACTTGGTTAGTTTCTTTAAAATTTCTTAGCTTCTTCTGTTTTTTGTTCATATTTGGCACTTTTTTGGTCGTAGTCCACTTTCACTTTCACTTTGGATTATCCTTTATCCTTGATGGTGCTTGTTCAACCTACCACTTGACTGGTTTAGCACTAGAAGTAGCAGGGCTACTCCTGCTACCGTTGATTTCATGATCGTTTGGGGGCTACTTCAATCGCGGCGACTCGCGTATTTCCGTATTAGCCACAAAAATGGATTCCGGCAACTAATTTTTAGCTGGATGATGTGAGGCCTTTTATAGATTTTCGACCGGCGACAAGCTCGGGGCAATCGATCGATCGATGGGTCCTATCGGGCCCGCTTGATTATTGCTCTATATTAGGGGCCCAAAGCGATTATATTGTATGGCGCTGTTGCCATAGCTATATGGCCGATAAAGCTTCGTTATTTATAACCGATGGAGGGGAATTAACATAAAAAACAACAAAAACTATCCAGATAAGCCGACCATAATCAGTCGAAAAATGGAGTCGTGAACACGTTTACACCTCTCGATAAGGTTTTCCAAACGATGGACAGCCGAAATATATGTTGACTGATTACGGGACTTGCGCCATAAAAAGCGGCTAAATGGAGGCCATCGATTCGCATTGCCAGTAAAACATTTGTATTTTCAATTGCATTCAGTTTGGCGTAGTTTCTTATCACCACTGCACTCCAATAACTATCTGCGAAGGAGAAAAGGCTTAAAGCTTCATAGATCGATAGCCTAGTCTAGTTTAATCGATAGTTACAAAGTCTATCACCCAGATGGCGCTTTAATATTGGCGATTGTAAATCACATAGTGTTTTTTGGAAAACCCCAGATTGTGTTAAAGGCTTTTCCTAAGAACTTAATCTTTTAAGGTGTACTGCTTACTTTTATTGGCCCTATTGGACTTTCAACAAGCAATTTAATATTGTCACGAAATTGACTCTAGATGAGTACTACTAAATAAATAAATACCTAAAATGAATCATATTGAAAATGATTCAACACTCAAGCCTCTTTAATGGGAATTCTTTATTGTTCATATTGTTACGAAAATGGAATTGCCCAATTTGTTAATAATCTCGATTACCCTTGGCTACCTCAAATCAAAACAAGTAATCTTAGCGAACTAAAAATAAAAAATATATAAATCACTTTGAATTTAAAGTAGATCTTGTTTAACGATTGCCCAATCATTAGTATTAAATTTGATGATTATATAAATAGGCTTTCCTGTGAAGTGGTGGATTTTCGTCATATAATCGTGGCTTATCAATATTTAATCGGTGACATAACGAACCTCGCGCCGAATTTTGGTACAAGCATAAAACCCAAGAGATTGCAATTAATCGCGACAAATAATTTATGGTCATGTCATAAAAATTACTTTAATAATAGTCGTACATAGATTGCGTTCTGAAGAGAAGGTCGTGGGAATTAAAGCTAAACGCGAATTCCGAGCTTATTTAAGTACGTTGTAAACGCAAAGTGCCAATTGAGCAAAGATCAGGATCATCGAAAGGTGTAAACCGAATGCCGAATTTGGTTTCTCCGTTGTGGTTGGGATCTCTTCAGTTGTCGAAGGTTCTGTGGTGGATTGGGTGGTTTCTGGTGAATTTGTAGTTGTACTTGTTGAAGAACTTGTTGATGAACTGGTTGATGAACTTGTTGAAGAACTTGATGAGGAACTTGTTGTTGAACTTGTTGTAGAACTCGAAGTTGATTCCGTTGTTATTGTTGAACTAGGTGTGGACTCCGTTGATGAACTTGTGGATTCCGTTGGATCTTCAGTGGTTGGAGAGTCGTCTGCTTTTACAATTTGATCATTGCAGTGGGGTTGTTGCAAAGGATCGCACAAGTGGCAATTTGCATCGGCCAGGCAATTTACTTGATCAGAAAGAGTCAGAGAGCATCCTCTTTCCAAACGATCTCCTTGCAAACTGGCGAAGCAAAAACTTCTACCTGATCTTGCAATAGGACATTGTACAGCTTTTAGGAGTTCGGGAGATTCAGCACAATGTGTGTCCTTAAAGGAAAATAATATAATAAATAGTTATTGTATTTATTTATTTCCATAATAATTACCTCTGTATTATTACACTGAATACAGCTGGCTATTTTGGGCGCCAAATTGTTGCATTTTTCGGTTACACAGATCTCGCATTTAATACCAGATCCTCTATTTTCTTCCTGGCATTTTCCTCGCCAATCATCCTCCAGACTTTCCAGACATCCTTGGGCCTGAATAATGCCACCTTGAAAAACACTCACGCAGGCATCCAATTTATCCGAACATTGTTCATCAGCCGCATAGCTACTCCTTTGGCAATTAATTCCCCGACAATAGATACATTTTTCCGATGCCAACACATAACTGCAGGTCAAAAGAAGTGCCAACAGGAGCTGAGGGAAATTTAAGTTTGACATTGTGGAAGGAACATTTAGCATTGAAAAGCTTTCAATAGCTGACCATCCCTTTATATAAATTCTGGTCGGTCAAGAGGATGTTTCTGATATTTCTTCATAGATAGCCGACTGAAGTGTGTAAGCTCGTTAAGTGATAGTCCTCCATCTCTTCAGAAATTGCATAAACAATTCTGTTGTCTTTGTGGGGTTCCTTAAGCCCAACGGCACTCAAATGTCCGAGTTATTGTGGGGGGCAGCTTTTAAAGTAGTTCCTTAGTTAAAAGTAAATAAACAAGTTTACATCGCTAATGGAATTTTTTGCCATTAATCGGTTATCAACCTAGATTAGACAACGAATTAGATCAAATGCCTCTCAGATAATTTTGAATGAGTCCCATTGAAGGCTGTTGTTATTGATCAAGATCGGAGTTATCAATATAATGTGAATGATTCACCCAATATCCGTATTTTAAGAGTAGCCTTAAAAAAGTAGATTTATTTATCCAGACTAAGAAAGTAAATGTCTAAGACTATATTTCGTGAAATAATAAAAAAATCTACTTTTATATTATTTAGCATAGACGCTCGTTAAATTATTAAGGTACATTAGGGCCCATTCATATTTTACAGGAATAGTCATTCAATTGTTTTGAAAGGGTAACTTTAAAAGTTTTTTTTTATTTATTTATCTGTAAATATTAAAATTTTGTACTCATAATATTATTAATTTTTTAATTATTTAATTATTTATTTATTTAATTTGACAGTAAAACCCACTTTTATTAATTAAGAGTATTTCATTAGCTTTCGAGGAAAAATTAACCCCAGCTCATATGCCGTTTTAGATTCATATATTTTGTTCATTTATTTATTATTGATTTAACATTTTTATTTGTATTCCATGTACAATATTATAGTTATCTCAGGAAACGAATGAAGCGATTTCCCACACTAGAGCTCTCGGCAATGTTGGCGGCGTTGCAGTTCCTAATATCGCCAGGTGAGCACAATAAACAGTTGGCGTCATTCAGACAAGTCTGCTGATCGGTTTCGGTGGTGGAGCATCCTCTCAGAATAGAACCACCCGAAGACTTTACATAGCAATACGAGTTGGGAGCAGTGGGGGCATTACAGCGGGCAGCTTCCAAAGTGGCGGCATTCGAAGCGCAATTTGAGTCCTTTGTGGGATTATAAAATTAAGAATTATATATGGTTTGGTATATAGAAACTTCGAACTTACCTTGCTGGAATCACACTGAATGCAGGAATATTTGGCTGAACCCACATTGTTGCATTCCTTGGTGTTGCACTTGTAACAAGAGCGATTATCCTCGCATTTTGAACGCAACTCGTAGGGAATTTCTAGGGAGCAACCCTTGAACAGGACCTTGGCTGGAATATTTAATAATATTTTTAAAATGTATTCGGTTTTAAAATTATCTTCCTCACAAACCTTCATCATAGATGGTCACACAATAGTCCAAGGAATCCACACAAGACTGCGTTTTAGCCAGTTGAACCCTTTGGCAATTGGCTCCCTCGCAGCTGTGGCAACTGATTACCGTGTTTCCAGCCGCCTGACCCACCAGAGCCACCAGCACCACCGCACTCACCACCTTCGCAATTGTTTGGGCCTTCATTTTTTCGCTTCGACTAACGGGCAATTGGCCAATGCGATCGGCTTTTATACCGCCGACCACTTCAAATGCTCCAGTGAAGTGTCCTCTAGAGCGGTTTCTGTCAGTGTGTGCGCTCGTCCATGGAAATGGCCAAACACTTGAGAGTGTTCTATGAAGACCCGACAGCAGAGGACAGTCGAATATGAACTGCGATAGATAAAATACATTACTCATCTGCTCGGTGATTTAAGTCTATCAGGAAGTTGAGAAACCGGAAAAAAACTTATAATAACAAAAGTAAAATAAATTAAAGATGACTGTAATAAAAATAATACATAAAGAATCTTTATATAAAATGTTTATCTTTTATGTAAACACGGTAAGTGATGTAAGCTAAAATATCTGTTTAATACAAGTATGACATACTACATTACGCTTTCGGTTTTTTTTATCCTTTATCCTCCCCCTCTATCCATGCGACAACAATTTAATGGATATGCTTTGATGCTAGCCAATTTCATAACATGAGATAAAACAAGAGAGAACGCTATAGTCGGGTTGGTGTCCCGACTATCTAATAACCGTCACTCCGCTAAAGGGAGTGCGAACGCTGTGTCGGGTTGGTGTCCCGACTAATAATCGTAACTCAGCTAAAGGGAGTGCGAGGGAGATAGATATATGTTGACAATTTATAAATCGTATAACTTTTTAATGAATGGTCCGATTTGAAAAATGTCTTCTACATTTCGATAGGTATAAAAATACACAACAAAATTGCATTTATACTTCTCGGAAATCTTTAAAGGTGTGGGCGCAGGACCCATTTTAAAATCGTTAGTGGGCGATTGTGGGCGTTAGAGGGGGCGTGGCGCTCGGCTAAAATAAACTTGCGCTGCGTAGGAAGCCAAAGAATATGTGTGGGAAATCTCAACCTTCTAGCTTTTGTAGTTTCTGAGATCTCAGCGTTCATACAGACGGACAGACGGACAGACAGACAGACGGACAGACGGACAGACGGACAGACGGACAGACGGACAGACGGACAGACGGACAGACGGACAGACGGACATGGCTAGATCGACTCGGCTAGTGACCCTGATCAAGAATATATATACTTTATGGGGTCGGAAACGCTTCCTTCTAGCTGTTACATACTTTTGCACGAATCTAGTATACCCTTTTACTCTACGAGTAACGGGTATAATGACTATATATTTTCTATGTCTTTTCCTAAAACCGCAGACAATAAATATTCAATTCAAATTTTTCGATTATAATTGTGCTAGGATTCAATTTGAGATACTAGTATTATTGGCTATATATTTTCAACCACCACAGTGGTGGTGTATTGCAGCCATATTGAAGTGCCCTCCAAAATAAACTGTCGGCCGAAGAATTCCCCTGTGATTGAACTGTGGTATTATTCCAGAAATCACATGCTAGTTAATTGACGCAAAAAAATAAAAACAATCCAAGTAGCAGATAAGCTAAAAGCAAACGTTTGGCAAACAAGTGATTCTTTATTTAATATTTTTTTAATTTATTTTTTAAAATTCAATTCAGCATTTTAAGCATGAACAAGGCGAAGAAAGCAAGGCTCAAACTCATGAATTTTTGACTTTGGTCAGCTCCTGATTTTGAGCCCAATTCCAAATCGAAATTATTGCAGGCCACGGAATCACTGGAGTTATCCGGCAGACAAAGGGAACATTCCGAGTCCTCCAGGCAGGATTTTTGTTCCTTCACAGACAGAGCACATCCTCTTTGCAGGTTATCCTTCTTATCGCCGACGACCTTGACGTAACAGTATGAATTGGCGGAGGTGGGAAGGCCACATTGGGAGGCGGTTAGTGAGGAGGTGGCGCCCTTGTTACATGAGGCAGACTGGTAAAAAAATATTGAAAATAAATATAAAATAATAAATTATATTTATTTCTTAAATATTTTTGTACTTACATCAGAACCTATGCACTGAATGCACCTAAAATCTCTGCGTCCTTGATTATTGCATAGTTGACCACTGCACTTTTGACATTGATCGTCCTTGGCCGCACATTTTGCCTGACCAGCCAAAGAAATCTGGGAGAAACAGCCCCGCTCACTGACGGCAACTAAAAAAAGAATATTGTTTAGAAAATATATATTTATTTTCCATGGAAAATCTGCAGATTTAAACTTACAATCCTCGTAAATAGTAACGCAGACATCCAACTTATCAGTGCAGCTAATGGTGGCATTCTGGAGGGTAGTTCTCAAACAATTAATGCCCTCACAGCTAAAACACTTGGGCAACTCCACTGCATTCTGCACTTCGGTGGCGATTTCTCCAGAAATCTCTTGAGAGGCCAGCAGAAAAGCCATTAAAATAAAAAACATGCCCGATTGCTGCATTTTTTCCTTGGAGCCTCCAACACCTTTGAGCAACCAAACCAAACTAAAACTAAGCTGCAACTAATTTGGAAAAAATCGAAAAAATCCACAATTGTTCTGCGACACTTGAGAAAATTCACATTAATCAGTCAACAGACTGATAACGAAATTACAATGCAGTACTTGTTGTGCTAAGCAATTTCAAGATGTTTCCCTGTAGATTAGTATGCTAGCTGGACTTATATCACGGAATATACGATTTGTTTGCTTGGCCCTTGAAGAATCTTATCTGGCTTTTGCCTGAAAAATGATGAAAATGTAAACGAATGCTTTCGGATTTTTCATGCAGTGAGTCATTAAACTTTTTAATTAACAATTATTTATTAGCATTAGTTTTGATTTGATTTGTTATTATTTTTCGGTGGTTTCTTATCTTATTTTGTCATTTTTTAGGACGGTGAAAGGGGTTTAAATTGCCCATCGTCGGTCACTTGATAATTTATTTGCCCTACTGTTATCTGGAACTTATCGGTTTGGATCGGTGTGAGTTATGGCAATCAATTTTTATGACACATGGGCTTTTAATCTAACTGTGCAAAAGATACGACCGAGTAAGACATTTGAGCTTTTAATTTGACTTTGACTTCCTTACTTCAACATTTATTAATGGTTTCATATTGTCAGTATTTATACCCAAATTAAATCTATCAATTAAATAGAATAATACTGATTTCTTACAAAATAGAGGAGAAGTAAAGACTACTTTAATGCTGAGGTCAAACTTGGTTGGCCAGGAAAATTAAAGCACAGCTGTACTTACTTGCATACATTTACAACAGATTTTCCCTTACAACCAACACGAGGGGATTACGTTACACAATCCAAAAAAAAAATGAAAAGGGCGGGAAAGCCCCGAAATGGAAAAGGAAACGGAAATAATACAAACATAACAAAGAAATATGCAAAGCAGATGAATTGGGGATAAAAATGCGTGAAGGAAAATATAAATGTAGGAAAGCGGGAAAACTGAAATCGTTACACCAAAATTGGGAGCTTAATCGGGGTCCAAAGGAAAAGTTTTTAGCCTTGGTAATGGGGAAAAGCAAATGACACAAAAGAAATGAGAGCGGGTCAATATTGTTGCAGATGCAGGAAAATCCAAAGAAAAGTAAATAAAAGTGGAAACCAAAAAAGTTGAAGACAAAGTTTAGATACTAAAGGTATAGATCGTCTTAAAGCTAATGGTACATTAAAGAACCATTAAAAAATATTACTTTTTAAGGTTAATTGGATATATTAAAGCTTAGTGTTAGTTGTGTCTCTTTGGTTGATTAAAATAACTTAAAATTAAGGTTCTTTCTTTCTCTACTAATTTTCCTTAAGATATGGATATCATTTTTAAGATCATTAAGACCCCTTATAACCCTTTTATCTACCTGAACTTATTCTTCGCCCTGGGAACCACCAGCTTTTCAGGATTTGTTCGAAATAGTCCTCTAGGTCCGCCATCCACTATTTCAATTTCCCGCTCCTGGCACTTGATCCGCTCCACCCGGGCCATGCTGAGATACTCCCTGCCGCCGCTGACCACAAAATGGAACTCATCGAGTCCTGCACAGGCGGCGGCATAGATGCCCCGTCGATTGACCACCACCACTCCGCCATTGAACTCGGTGTTGTGCCTCAGCAGGCGTTGCACCACCCACTCGGCGGCCTTTTCCGGATTCTGACCACCTCTCATCGCCTCGACGGCCAGGAAGGCGGGCAGGTGGCGCATAAGGACATCTCCATCGCCACTGGCCACCGCAGCACCCACTTCGTTATCGGCATAAATCCCTGCTCCAGGAACCGCCGAATCACCCACTCTGCCGGGTATTCGAAAGGGGACGCCACTAGATTGGCTGGCCACATGGAATAGACCCTCTGCATCGAGGGCTAAAAAGGCCAGCTGATCGTGTTGACCCGGCACAATGGGATATTCAGGGTGCATTGGATGCTTCAGCAGATGTTGGGGTAAAGGTGAATACGGACCGCAGTTTTCCATCTGCGAGGGTTGAACATCCCGCCAGAAATTTGGTTGGCAAGCTCTTGAATGCCACCTTTCCATCACATCCTGGGTGCGATTACCCCAAGGATAATCCTCCTTGTAGCCCATGGATCTGGCGAATCTTGTTGCACTTTTTCCCACCAGTAGGGAGTGTTTTGTGTACCTTCTCAGCGCATCTGCTACGAGGATTGCATTACGAACTCCTTCTAGTCCCGCAACTCCGCCATATTGTAAGGTTTGGCCATCCATGATGGCTGCTTCCAGGGTCAAAGTTCCCTCCGCATCGGGAGCATATCTTCCGGCCAAAAGGCGGCCACATCGCTGGTTCTGACAGGCCAGGCATCCCTGAATGACCGCCTGACGAGTCCTTCGAGGTCCCTGCTTCAAAACACTCCACGCCTGCAAATTGGCATCCGTATAGTTCCACGTGCTGATCAACAGCGGATGAATCTCCGTCTTCCTCGTCCCGAACATTTTGAAAATTTTCTCTCTCGCATTTTCGTAATCCAGTGGAATTTTTGGGATTTTTTCCGAATGCTGTCGGGTGTTTTTAGCAGCAGGAGGAGGATCAGCAGTTGAAGGCAACAACTTTGCGCCAACATACTCCAAGCAGAACTTATTCATGACTGAGCGATACAACCATCCACAAATGTTTCTTTACAAATCTGACTGCTGAGTAGAACTGAGTCATGGGTACTTTTATTATCTCGAAGCTGTTAGCCATTAGTGTTGAAGAAAGTCGACAGCTGAAATTTTTCAACATTTTATAACTTTTGATTGACAATAAAAGCTTTTAGAGATAGTTGACCAAAACAGACCTTTTAAGTTAAATTGTCTGAATAAAATTTTCATTTAGTTCAAGCAGCTGAAAAAAGTCTGGGGTCTATAAAAGGCTTTATAGCTGCGTTATCTAAACCACAAATGACAAATATACAATATTCAAAATATATTTACCAAAAGCAAGCCTTTCAATCTATGAATTAGTAAACCAAGAAAATTACACATCCCTAGATACGTTACAAACAGAAATGGCTCAAATATATTTTGATTTATTTACTACAAACAATTTGCAAGTATTTATCCTATTTATACAATGTCAACAAGCAAGATATCTGCCAGACAAACTCATAAGATACAATATTTGTTATGCATCGAACTTTGTCTATATAAATTTATGGGTGTTTGTTTGCCTTCTCAATTGTGTATGTGCGGTGGCGAGAGTGTGAGTGCGAAAATATCTGATGGAAACAAAACTTTTGTTTCAATCGTTTGTTAAAAGGGGGAGAACACATCAGCCAATTGGTCGAGACTGACAAAATTGCCTCTTGTCTTCGGTTAAAATAGAAAAATCTGGTATAATATATTTGATTGCTTTTTGGAATGGCGGGGGAAACTCAAGAATGGGAAAGTATTTAATTGAATAAATATATTTAGAATTAAAAAGATAAAGACTTCTTGCCAAATTGGTTTAAATCTTTAAAATATTTATAAATTTATTTTGATATATTTTTTAATCCTCTGTCTAAATCCTAAATCCTAAAATAAACGACTTTTCAGCTTAATGAATGTTTTATTGTTGTAGATACTTTTATTATATTTTGACAACCACTGTCAATGAACCTAGATAGGTTTTGGTGTAAGTAATCTACTGCTGATTGGAAATGGGCCCACGATAATATCGCTCCCCCTTGGCATTTCCCCGGCCCCCTTTCCACTTATCAAAAATGCTGTTTTTCTCACAATTGACTTCAATCATGTTGGCCATATGTATTGACTGCTGATTGATTGATGGAGCCCAGCAAATGGTTAGTTGTTGGGCCGAAAATTGCATAAATCCTTGGCGCCCGGCCTTTCGATTTCCTTTTGGCCCACGTTATTTAGGCCTGCGGTCCGCCTTCTCTCCGTCCCGCTCGCCACCGCCGCCCCTCTCACTAGCACACACTCGTGTAATTGCGTTTATTGTGCGTTTGAGATTTGTAATTCGATGGCTGTGCCTCTGTATCTGTATTCGCAACTGTGTGTGTGTGTTAGCCTGTTGGGGTTTGGTTTTGCCCGTGTTGATTGAAAATGGCTTAAGTAATCGACAGTTGATTGGCTGATTTGATTGCTGGTGTTGTAGTTCGGTTGTCACTGAATATTGTTCGGTGTTTGGATTATGTTTTGGATATGGATATGGATATGGATATTATTTTCAGAAATCTCTTTTAAATATAAAAAATTAATACCCTTACAAGAACTTAGTAAATTATGTGGTTTTATTTATCAAATATACAAAAAACTAAGCATAAAGTAACGAATCTCTTTTCTCCCCATTTCATTTAATTTGCTTACCTTTGATTTGGCTTTTGTAGCCGCAAACTACTTTCAAAAATTAGCAGATTGCCAGCGCCACATCCTTTTACTTCCTTTGCTTCCCTCACTTAACCCTCGAGCCCAAGATTTTCTATGTCAGGTACAATCTTTGAGTCTGAACCCTGACCCAGATAGCCCACCATATCCCTCGAGCCCCTCGAAAGCCCCCAAGGAACCCAGAAGAACCCCCGAACCACCAAGTCTGCCGAGGCTCTTGAGCGGCTAAATAAGCTTGCCGGCGGCTACAAACACTTTTGCGCCTGGACGCAGCCAAAAGCACCACTTTGTGTCGAGCGGTTTGGCGGTGGGGTGGCATGGGTTAAGTTTGCTGTGCGGTGTGTAGCAAAACGTAAATAACTTGCCAAAGCAAAAGGCAAACAAACAAAACTGCCACGAGGAGAAGGAAAAGCAGAATCAGAAGCAGAAGCTGAAGCAAACCGAGCCAAAGAAACGTAAAATACCGCAAAATGGCGCAAAAGAAAATCCACTTTTCCAGTAAAAAGTTCTTCACATTATTGCTGTTGTTGTTGTTGTTGCCACTGATGCATGTGCTGCCCCCTTTGGTTGCCAGTTACCCCTCGCCATCACCATTCACCTGCCGCTTTTGCTCTTGCCAAAATGCCACCATTAGTTGACCTGAAAATGGCTTCAAGTGGCGCTCAACTCTTCTCTTTTAGTGGCTTCCACATGCACTCCAATATTTAACATAAACAAATATAAACGAACCACTTCAGCGGCTGTCTGTGCGGGTATATCTCAATCCATTCGAAAAACTGGGGGATTTTCATTTAATATTTCCACAGGTGAAAAAATTTTTTAAAAGGTTTGAAGGGATAAGATATTTTTTAGGACTGAAATAATTATATAAAAAATATGAAACAATTTATAAGTCTTAAATTCTATATAAATAGCTTACATTTTTCAATAATAGATAACAAAATTAATTTTTAGGGTAATTGTGTTAGCCAACATATCAAATAATTATGCCTGTAATTCAGTGTTACCATCCCCACTTTCGCTAGTTAACATCTTCAAAAGTTTACTTACCTAAAGTGCAAAAATTCTTACCGGTTACCCAACTGGATTAATAAAAGCAACATTCCACGGAGTCTCTAATCAAATGGCCACGAATAGACATTATGCGTTTAATCAAGATGAGATCCCCCATCGGGGAAACCAGTTTCAGTGGACACCCAAAGTTGTCAAACCCTTGGGTGGGCAATTTTAAGCAGAACGCGACATCGGGCAATCAAAACTGCCATGATTAATGTCAGCACAATTGACATAAAGCATTGGCCATGGCCGAGAGTGGAAATCGCCGAGGGCCATCGCCATCCAGGCCAACTGGAAAAACTCGAACCTGAGAGACACGACGGCAGACGCAGCACACCCAGCAGATCCCAGATCCCAGATCCCGACCAACTGGAGGATGCAATTATTGATGGATTATTTACTGTCAGCACTGTCCGTTATGACAATGAGATATGGCCACAGGGCGGGCTGTCTGTCTGTCTGTCTGGAGAATGTCTGCAGCCAATGACATCGACTAGACGAGTAGTTGGACCGGAGTTGGCTGCCCTCCGGCCCGAGTCATTGAATCTGGCTCCTTTTGGCATCTATCGCATCCCTGACTTTGCAATTTATGGCCCGCAATTATCTGGAGTGTGTGTGTGCGCATCATTAGTATTCAATATATTCAATATATCCAGCATTGCATTGATGCATTAATTGCGCGTAATCACCTTTCGTATAAATAATCGAGCAACAAAAGCGGGGGAAGCTAAGAACATAACTCCCACACTGGGGAAAATTTATGATTTATCAAAATAAAAATGATATGCAAATTCAGGAAACCTTAATAAATAGTTGAACTAACTAATTAAATATAATATTGTGAGCAATATTTTAACATTTAATTTTAATTTCGAAATCATTAATATTTTATTTTCTTAAATATATATTTTTCTGTTCTGTGCAGAACTACCAAGAAGGAACCCAAATCCAAAGTCAAAGTCAAGCGCCGGCGACGCCTTCACTCATTTACATATTTCGTGTAATTATGCGGGGAAATTACAACGGGAGCGATGGGCCACCGACCATCAGCACATTCGTCGCAATCATCATCATTATTATCATCGTCCTCACAATCCGTCGCATAACTTCTTGTCATGGCCCTGAGACTTTGGCTGCCAGTCGGACGCAGACATTCGCCGTTAATTATGTTGACAGCATTGACAGCCGCGCTGGGGATCGCGATTGGGATTGAGAATGGGGATATACTTATAAGAGACTGAGGAAGGCGAGGTAGAATGGGGGGACCACCAGCCATGTTGTGTCAATCGATAAACGTTTAATCGCCTTAAATTGATAATAGCCAAACTGCCCATTATGACCGCGCTGATGTGCCGTCTAATGGATAATTTGTGTTTCGACCAACTTTTGATTTGGCCGCTCAATCACATTTCGAATGCAAAACGTCAAATCGCAGCGGAAATGAAGACCAAAAAGTTATGCTTCTTTGATTCCCGATGATTTGAGCAATTTCCATAAATTTATTGGGAAATTATGAAAAAGCCGTGGGAGTGGAAAACGTCTGAATCTGAATTTTTAAGTTGCTAAACTGGGTGCGACACTACAAAAATATTGTTTAAGGAAAAACAACAGCAACAACACGATTTAAAGATGCTAATAAACCATAGGAAAATTAACAAAAAAAAACAATTATTAAAAAATAATAAAGAAAAAAAAATTTACTTGTGCGTCGGCCGGGAATCGAACCCGGATCAACTGCTTGGAAGGCAACTATGCTGACCATTACACCACCGACGCCCATATGAAGGGGGTGAGAAAATAACCGAACAAAAACTAAAAGAGATAAGAAAGTGAAAGAGGGGAAGAATTTACTTTGCTGGAAGAATTTCGGCTTGAGCTGTACTAATCAAATTTCAAGTCTAAAAATAGAACAAGTTGTCTTTACTAATTGCTCAAGACAATATTAATTAATAAATGATTTGAGTAGCACACTTGAGTTTGCATCTGAACAAAACCTTCACACATTTCATGGTATTCCATTATAAATTGGCAAAATCTTAAAAATTTATGGGCTGCCGTAAGATAAATAAAATGATATTTATGATGATTGCTTATTTGCTTTGAGAGTAATTGGTGGAATTTGTTTGCCCAGCACCACCGAGAGTGTGGAAACGGTGTGGAAACCTCTTCAACCTCCATGTAGGTGTTGCGTAGGTGT